GCACACTGTTTGCTACTTTTAGCAATGAATCAAAATCTTCCCCTCGTTCTCGTTTAAAACTTTGGTTTTGTTCCTTATATTTGCATTTCTTAACAATTTGAAGATGTCATTGTCATTTACAAAATTAATGTAGGGTTATCACTTAAATCTAAAAATGTTCAAATGTGATTTGTGAATAGTAAACACCATCTGAATTCTGCAGAATGCAGAGAGATTGCGGGCACGAAGTCTGCACAACACAATGTCTGAATACAGAATGATGCCGTTTCCTGATGTAATGTGCATGTGCAAGTTTCTCTTTTTATCAGTCTCATTCTCACGCTGTCTGGTTCACTGGGGCTTAAACTCTCCTGAAATATTTCCTGGAGCCCCACAAGTCCACCCACACTGTTCTCCAACTAAAAGACATTTGCATGGGAGGTGGAGCACACAGCTTCTCACCTGCAGTAGAATGGTGGTTCTCTGGACTTCTGCCCTATGAGGAGGAGGTACTGTGTGTGAAGCCCCAAGATCCTTTTCCCTGGAGGGGAGAAGCCCCTAACTTTACCCCCACTGCAGGACAGAAGCCCCGAGCATTCCCCTATTCCCCCGCCTCTGCAATCTAGTAGGCAGAGAATGGGGTAGGAGCATGGAGCTTCTTTGTGACTTTAACTGTAAAATCTACCGCCTGCAATATAGGTGGTGTCACATATACTGATAATACAGAGCATGCAGCTTCTGCAATACAACACAGCCAGGGAAAAATAAATCCACAGAAGGAATCCAGCTGGTCTGCGTGACACTGCAGAGCTTTACCAAAAAGCCACAAGGCTTCTTGAAAAAACAAACATTAGCCAACTGTGCTGGCTTGCCAGAGATCTAAAAGCAAGAACAGATTTGGCTTTCTGTGCTTGGTGCTTCCTGCAGATGCCCACCCAATTATGTCTGGGGCTGTCTACATCTGTTTTGCAGTACTTTCCTCACTGGTTTAATTGTACATGCATTTTGATATTCTAGACTAAGCCACAAAGAACCTCTTGTCTACAGTTAACTAGCTACTAGCCAACAAAGAAAGGAGCAAAGGATAAAATAAAGCAAAACAATTGGGGCATTTTGACACAGGAGTCTCTGCAGGACAGAATTTTTATTTCGGTATCAGTGATAACCAGATACTAATTTTGTCACTACAGACATTTGTAAAATCTGGAAAACAAATCAAAGGGTAATTCATTTTCTTTTAGCTTCTTTCAGAACAGTTCTGCTATCTTCACTCTTCCTGATTCCTGTAATTACTTCCAGTGGTGATTGGAAGGAGGACTTTGGTAATGGCTCTCTCCCCTGCCCCCTTCCCAAATTAAGTGACAAGGCTCAGCTAGTGATTTTTTTACTTCTGGAATCCCAGGACATGCTTACTACCCTTTTGAAAACCAGTGAGTTTAATTCTTGAAACATTTTTCTGGGAACCAGAACAAATACATCAAAAAGCATATTAAAACCTGCCCTAAATGTGTAAGTGCACTAAACAATGGGTTTCTCAATTTTAAAAAATAGGCTAGTGAGAATAACAGCTGTGTGGAGACCCATATTTCAGAAGTGTTCAGTCTTACTCTCTCAGTGTTGGTTCTCACCTTGAACATAGAGAATAAAACTGTAAAATGTCATGATTCATGGTATCTGTTAACTGAGTTATGTGCTCTATCACCCGAGTATGATAGAGGAATAAAACCACAATTTGAGTGAGGATTTAAAAAATTATTACAACTAACAAACAGAAATAATTGCATGCATACTAGTAATATGATTTAAACTCAAGTCCAGCCTGACATGAAGAGTAACTTTCTTTATGCATATGAGAGCAGCCTCTCTGGAATTCCTAAACATCCACATCCAGACAGTCTAGTCACATCCTAGAGTCACACTGTCCTTACTGACAACACTGAAGTCAAAAAAGGAAGTTTGGGTTGCAGAAAACGTAAGCAGAGACCCTGTATGCTACTATTACTTTTGTTTCTTGTGAGAGTGTCTGTGAGAATTGAAGCCTGTGAACTTTGTTGTCTTAATATCTCCCAAGAGTATTTATCTCCTTGAAGCAGAGATGGGGGGTGGGGGAGAGGAGAAGAAATGTAATGGTTTACTCATTTGATTCCTGTTTTGTGATGCAAAATTTTGCAGTTCTTTGATTAAGACAGAAATCTGGAACAACACTGCAGGTGTCTGTGACACTGCTAGCACCTTCTGGGCATGGTAGTAATTGGATTAGGGAATGGAGAGCTATCTGGGATAGAGTGTTGGCATTTCCTGGGATTTAAAGTAATCCCAAAGCCAGAGTGCAATGAATGTGGTGGTTGCGGTTTAGTTCAGTTAACATTGTCTTATAAAATATGTCTAATTTCCCATAGTGGGCAGTCCGTACTTGGGTAGGATCAAGAAATTGTTTAGCATGGAGATTAGGGATGTAAAATCCTGTTTAATTGGTTAACCAATTAAACGTAGTATTAATTTGAAGAGGGGGCAGGTGGTAGGGGAGGGGAAGGTGCTCCAGCCCAGAAGGAGTAGAGGGGGGGCTCTCTGTTGGCCCCATATGTGTCTTTACTAGGTATTGTGTTTAATGTATATTATGGTTTAATTTACAAAAGCCCCTTATTTCTTTTTTCAAAAATAATTTACATGCCTAAGTCACTAGGCCATTTTAAAAATTGGTACAGGGTGTCCCCACTATGTCGCCCCGGTATACATCCATTCCACACTAAAGTTGTTGATGTTTGTAGGAACTCATGCGTTATAAGTCCTTCCATTCCCCGCTATAAGTCCTGTGAAATACTCCCCCCAATTTGTTTAAATGGAAGTGAGCCACAGGAAGAAAATTCCCTGCTTTAAGTTGTTGCACTATAAGTCCAAGTTTTTTGGAAAGTATCTTGGACTTATAGCGAGGACGGCCTGTGCCCATAGTGACTGCTCTAGAAACCATTATAGGTAAATCATTGAAATTCAAAAGCTTTAAGCCATGACCCTCTTTCAAATTAAGTGAGATTTGGGCTGGATGGTTCTTTAATACATCTCAGGCATATCCTGGTACTGTAAGAAGTTCCACCTATTAATTCAATATTATTCTGCACTCTCATTAGACTGAACTGTGCTTCTGCAGGATGTCAGAAGATACTGGGCTACTGGAGATGCAATCATCTTTGAAATGTGAAACAGATCTTAAGATCGGTTGTGGTCTATAAAGAGCATGTGACTCTGACCTTGAAACAAGGGGATTTTATGGGCCAAAATTTTATTTGGTTTATTACCTTCTGCCTGTGTGTGACACTAAAGGGATTTTTGTCAAATGGAGAGGATGGTATGCTTGTCAAATGGAGGTGTTTTTGTTGTGGGGTGTGGTTTTTTTTGTTTGTTTTTGTCAAATGAGGAGGTTGTTGAGCAGATCTATAGGGTAGCAAAGTGCAATTAAGAGGTTGCTGTTATACAGTTGTGGATCCCAATCTAATGGATAAACTGGCATTTAAAGTGCACCGGGGTCCTTTGGAATAAAAGGAATCTGACTGTAACTGTTAATAATAATTGAATATGCATACTTATTCAAACTATAAATGCTGGGTTTATGAAGCAGTAGTAGAAATTTATATGATTATGATCCTAGAAATGATCATCTTGAAAGGGAAGGGGTTAATAGACATACTGATAAATATTTTAACTCTAGTCAGACTAGTGCTGCAGTGGGGGTGTGGCAGGACATATATGAGACTATGACCTTTAGCTGTTATAGTCTGTTGAGATGTAGTCCAGACAACAGCTGCCAAACACATTTTAAAGTCGGCGGCTGTATTTTCTCATACAAATAACTCATTTAGATGTCCTTGGTCCAGCTATATGTCTCAACAGAAGTCATTTTGTCAGATAATGGCCAAGACTGGAGCTTGATTACTACTTTGTTGGAGTACTCCAGACTGGGATTGTGGGCGGCAGTAAAATATCTTCTTTGGAATAACTTGAAGACATTGTCAAACATTTGTTTACATTTAGCATTTTGTAAGAGAAGGGTAATAATCTAACAATTTCTGTTTTGTTAAACCAGTTACTCTAAAATTACACCTATTATTTTAAGACCCAAAGTTCAGATTCTAAAATTAGATCATACAATATACTTGTGCTGTTCTTTTAAGCATTTTCCAATAAGATGAATATATGACTAGTCAATCTAAATCACAGACAATGTGATGGTAATGCTACTGCAAGAGGTCAAACCTTTCTCATACAGCACCCTCGGGACCTGACTGATGCAGAACCAGAGAATTTACCACACTACAGGAGATCAGTATTGTCTAGCAGCATTACCAACAGTTCCACTGCTTATTGGGCTTTTAGAAGACATTTAGGGGCAACTCAGAACTAAATAGCACAGAACACTGAGAGCCAGGATTGGTGGCTGTAAATAAACTTTGTGAAAGTTAGCCTTGTTACTTATTTGATCCTGTTATAACTGATCTAAGATCACTTTGGATATATTTGTTTCTATTTTACTGACTGGAATGAAAGATTACTGCTCAATCTTCTGACTCTGCACACACAGTAAAATCTCTATACAGGCAGTCCCCGGGTTACGTACAAGATAGGGACTGTAGGTTTGTTCTTAAGTTGAATTTGTATGTAAGTCGGAACTGGTGCATTTTGTAGGGGAAACTCTGGCCAAACATTTCTCCAGAGCTCAGTTTTATTCTCCCACCCCTCACTTCCCTCAGTCCTTTATTCTCAAGCTTAGGTGTCAGCTGAGAAAAGCCGCTCCGCGTCTCCCTGGTCTGCTGGGGGCGGCGCTAGCTTCGCGTCTCCCTGGTCTGCTGGGGGGAAGCAGCTAGTGCGGGGTTGCCTCACCCTGTTTGTAAGTAGGGATCTGATGTAAGTCGGATCCATGTAACCCGGGGACTGCCTGTATAAGAGAAACCAGTTTTAATTACTTTGTGCTTGCAAATTGACTTTTGCGCAGATTTACTATTAACCTATTCTTTCTTTGCACCATAAAGGTAATTGTTCGAGGTGGAGGACATATTTTACCTTATGACCAGCCTGAACGATCACTGGACATGATTGACAGATTTATCTCTGGAGAAGGATGGAAGACAAATGGATTCTAAAAGAAAACTTTAAATGCAGTGTAAATGTTACTTTGCCAAATCCTTCAGAAATGTTGTGAACGTACTATAGTGAAAATTTTGCCATACGGAAAAATTATGAAATTGAGGATGAGAGTAATAAAATGAATATAAAGGCTCCTTGCTCTTGGTCTGTCTTACTGAAAAATTTTCATTAGTAAAGTGGTGTGAGAAAATAACATGGATCTAACTTTCTGAAGTCACTTAAGCTTCCCCCCACCCTTAGAATTTGGAAAAACGTTAGCAACTTAATCCCTTGATTAGAAAATTTTAAAAATCTGGTTATTTCACTATTAGGGCATGTCTATGCTAGGAAATTTTCAAAATTTTGAAATAAGCATTGTTCCCTGAGGAAAGCAGGATTACAGATTTCTAAATAACCAGTGTGGAAGTGTGGACGCTCCACTTATTTTGAAATAAAGGGGGTTATTTCAAAAGAATTCCCTAGCATAGACTAGGGCTCAGACACTGGGGTAGTTGGGGCAGAGACACAAGTTGGGCCTTGGAGAGGAGGCAGAGGTGAGAGTGGCATGCAGGTAAAGCCCTCAGAGGAAGAAAGGAAAAGACATGGGTGGGGGTGGCCTGGGGGAAGGTGGCAGTGAGGCATAGGTGGGGAAAGGGACAAAGCAGGAGCAGGCTCTGGGGCAGAGTGAGGGTGGAGCATGGCAAGGCCCTTGGAGGAAGCACCTCAGGGGTAGGGTGACTATACATCCCATTTTTACTGGGTCAGTCCCTTTAGTCCCTCTTCCTGACATCCTGACTTTTTTTTTTTAAATTGGGCTCATTGTCCTGTATTTCCCTGGGGGAAAGCCACCAGTGCTCTAGGTTTCAGTCCCGTGAGGGGGCAGGGAACCGCCAGCACTCAGGGCTCCAGCGGCTAAGCGAGCACTGGTAGCTCCCCTCCCTACCCCATGCTGCATGCTGCAGGGCTGAACTTCATCGCTGCAGGGAGGGTGGGGAAAACTGAAGCCCCAAGCTGTGGTGGCTCCCCCTGCATACTGTGGGGCTGAACTTGATCCCTGAAGTGGTCAAGGGAGGAGGGGAGCTGCTGGCACTCGGAGCTTCAGCCGCTGGAGCCTGGAGTACTGGTGTCTGCCCCCACCCCCCACAACCCTGGTGGTGCTGAAACCCTGAGTGCCAACAGTTCTTCCCTTCCCCAACTGTGGGGCTGAAGCAGACACACACACACACACACCCGCCTTGGTGTCCCATACTGGGCATGGAGAAATATGGTCATCCTAAGTAGTGGGCAGGCCTCAGAACAGAGCAGGGATTGGAACCATGGTCGAGGCACCCGTATCCCTTGACATTTCAAGGGAGCTTCTATTGCTAACACCCAGGTTCCCCAAATGCAGGTGTCATGTACTGGTCATGAACATACAGAAATGTGGACACCGTGCAGCCGGAAAAGACCTGGCCAAGTTTCTAACCCAAAATTCCAATATTTGAAATTAGATTGGAGAAGTTTTCATACAACCACTCTGAGAATTGCTGATATTCTTCAGACCAACAACAAGCAAGCTCTATACCTTGCTTTTTGTGAAAACACAAAAGGAGTGGATTTCTGAATAAGCCCTGAGGCTGCATCACGTATGGCCTAAATTGAAGTTTAGTCCATCAGTGTGGCTTCTTGGGATAATGTCTTTTCGCAAAACATCATTTGCAGATGTTCATTTCCAGTCTGAATTCCCTGGCTCTTGGTTATCTCCGCTCTTAAGAGCCAGAAGCCCCAGGGCCAATGTAAAAAAAGCTTTCCTTTTCTAATTAAAATTCATACGATTGAACAACATTAACAAAGCAGGCTCTCAGAGCCATAGTCTCGATTTTAAGATTATGGCCCATCTAAGAACTCTCCTTCCAGACCAATACTTTTCCTGAAGCAAATTGTGTGTAAATTACATGAAAAATAATATCAGGAAAATAAGATGCAAACAAGGTGCAAATAGCTTTTTATGAAGGATATGGTTGGTTATGTTTGTCTATCTTTTGTATCCATTTACTACTACTTGTTGGATGCACGGAATCTCTGCTGATTGTTTTGTGATTTGTGTATCTCCTTCTGTGTGCATTTTCTACTCCTCCGACCTTGCATTTCAAGAGAGTTTTGTTTAGATGGTTACGGTCTGTGAAAAAAAGAGATCAATTAACAGGAAGTTAGTGTGGTAGCACACTGTTAGTATACTACCTGTGCCACAATCTTAGTGCTTGCATTTCCTGCCACAAGTCCATGCCCAACAGTGACCTCCATTATTCTTGCCTTTGCTGTCTGGGGCTGATGAGGTGGTATCAGGGACATTTGTGTCAGGGCCTCCTCCTATCGACCACAGGGCCTACCAAAACCTCCACCAAGTGGCTTGCAACATGGGCATCCAATTAGAGGAGGCTGAAATAGAGCATCTCCTGGTGGACATCTTGGCCCTGGAGCAGCCTTCCATGGTTGCCCTCTCCTTTATAAAGACCATGGAGAAAAATAACCTGTTCATTTGTTAGATCCCAGGCTCTATTCCACCAACGGTGAAAGGGGTAGAAAGGAAATACTTACGTGCCCTGCCTGCTCGTGCATAGGCTTGGCGGTCAATGAGTGGGAATGCCAGGGCTTGCCAGCACCTAAAGACAAGGAGGCCAAACACCTTGACATCTTTGGAAGAAAGGTATATGCAGCTAGAGGGCTTCAGCTGAGAATAGCAAACAAGCAGGAAGTCCTCAGCCCTTACAATTTTAATGCCGGTGATGCCACACAGATGTTTAAAGCTCTCCTTTCAGCTGTTGGGAAGACTCTGTGGCACTGATGGAGGAGGGCAAGACCATGGCGTGGATGGGTCCTTCAAGCCTCCTTGCATGCTGCTGATTGATTGATATCAATGGGCATAGTCAAGGATAGGTGGATGTTGTTTCCATTCTCAGGAGATACAATGCATATTGTACCTCCTCAGGAAATGCATGGGCTTGTTTCCTGAGCAGACTGATTCTCTGCTACACAGCCTCAAAGACACCAGAGCCATGATGCACTCATTAGAAATACATACTTCAGCCATGCAATGCAGGCCACTCTGGCCACCAACAGCATAAAGATAGGAATAACAGACAAAGGACTCTGTCCTGGTTGTCTAGACAGAATCAGTGGCCTCGCAAATTCCAGACCGGCTCCAAGCTGGGATTTTGATGGGGTTGTTTGAGGACTGTGGACCAATCGTTACCCCAGATCCTCCTCTCCTGATATGACAACTACATATCCTGCTTCTACCAATGAGCCCTGTGGTGCTCCAATTCTACTCCCGCCTCCTGTCTGTCCCTCTTCCCCTCACTCTTCACAGACTCCCTAACAGGAGGTGTAATCACTCTTGGTGATGGGGGCAATACAGCTGGTTCCTCAGGAGAAAAGGACATTTATTTCCTAATCCCAAAAGTGAAAGAGGGTCTCAGGCTTATCTTAGATCTTTGCGGCCTCAACAAGTTTCTATTGAAGCTGAAGTTGCGCATGTTTTCCATGAATTCTTTTATCTCCTCTCTGGATCTGGAGAATTGGTATGCAGCACTTGACATGAAGGATGCCTATTTTCATATCACCATCCATCCATCAGTCACATCAGCACTTCCTCTGCTTCATGGTAAGTCAGGTCCACTGTCAATTCATAGTGCTTCCCTCCTCCCCCATATGTTCATGAAGTACCTGGCAGTGGTAGCTGTTTCTCTCCACAAAAGGAATGTGGAGGTCTACCTCTACTTTGATGATCGGCTGCTGAGAGGGCACTCCAGAGAACAGGTGAAGGCTAACCTCTTCCTCGTCAGGAGCACTTTCCAAAGATTGGGAATCCTTCTTAACTTGGAGAAGTACATGCTCATCCCTACCAGAAGGATAGAGTTGATAAAGGCGATTCTTGACTCTGTCAGAAAGAGCCTTCCTTCCAGACTCAAGATTCCAGTCTGTCTCATCCAGTCTCTGTAGCGCTTTTCCATGACCACGGTCAGGAGCTTCCTGAGCCTCTTCATTCACATGGAAGTGTGCACATACATGGTGACATATGCCAACTTGAGGCTGAGGCCACTCTAGGAGTGGCTCTCGTCTATTTACTGCTCAGGCTCAGATAGTATGGATCTGGTTCTGACCAACCCTCAACATAACCTCCAGATGGACCCACTAGCCATGTGTGTGGGTGTCTCCCTTTGTGCCTCTCAGCCTGAGATGACGCTAGTCACATACATGTCAGACTTCGGTTGGGGGATGCACCTTGGGGACCTGTGCTCCCAGGGCATGTTGTTCATGTCCATTCCAATACCCACCCTCCTTCCCCTCTGTTGGTGTAGCTGGCAAGAAGGAACTGAAGGAAGGGTGGATCAGTAGGGTCATATATAGCACTGCCTACTGGCTCACCTGTAGAAACTGCCAATGAGCTAAGACAGTCTGAAATAAAATTTCCATGTTTCTTCCTCTTACAGTTTTAAACCAATTTTCTATTAAATGGTGGTATATATTCCATTTTGGAACTAACCTGTGAATGTGACTGTCAGTTATATTAAAGCTATTCAAAATACAATTTATCTTGGATGCTGTTTCATAGAATCTACAGTACATACTGTCACAGCATCCCCCATGCTTTATGAAAATTGGCTTATGGATATTGATGTGCATAATTTGAAGATGCTTTATGAAAAACTGGTTATGTAAACATCAATTTTACAGTCTGACTCTGAATATCCTACTTTTGTGTATGTATCACTCTTGTATGTGTGGTTAGAAATAAGAAGTATAAATGTGTATATATTCATGAGTAATACTTCAGATACCAAATGGCTCAGATACCAAATGGCTCAGTACTCAAACCAACAACTGGTAAGCCCAAACTGTAGTTGGTCATAAAAAAGACAAGCCACCTAGTACTGGAATACATCTTGAACTTGCTTTTTCCCCATGGGGATGGGGAATGCTGAACAAAGAAAAGTTTATTTAAGCAATGAGGAACAATCAGCTTTTGTCTTCAGCTGGCTTTTGAAACTCGCCTGCCCCATCCTAAAAGGATACTTGAAGGAATCTGAAAAGCTGTAGACCTAAGCCAGAGCAAAGATCAACTCTGACTTGAAGCTTTTACCTGAGATAAGAACAGCTGTTTAGGGTAAGAA